AATAATATGTCTTTTAAAAAAACTAATTATCTCTGTTATATATGTACGTCCTGGGTATTGAAGTACCATGAAATTAGTTGGAGGATTTAAAATCTTTGTGATTACATATGACAATTGCCCCCAAATGCTCTGGTATGGCCGAGAGTGGGGAGAGTTCGCTCTCCCTCTCGAAATGCTCTCACATGGCCACGCATATATAGCCTCTTCCAGGGAAGTCCTACTCACTGCCTTCCCGTGGCGTGGGTGTTGTTTATGAAATTGAGAGGACGAAAAACGAATGTCCAGCGCTTTAATCGGATCCCAAACCAAATCAATGGTGCGCATGGGCTCCAGTATCCTGCGGAAACAAATGGCGTATGAACCAATTGTTGGTAATCGGCTTCCATTGGACTGTGTCTCCTGGAGTTGCTCCACTGCCTTGTGGATCAGACCCTTAGGTCGAAGGCTCCAGGTGTGGCCCCCTAGGGAAACCACATGCTTCGGTTTGGGCGCCCGGTCAGTATCACAGCCCTCACACATATCAAATGAGATTTGTGTGGCGCATATGTATTTGGCGGCTCCTTGTACCAATATCTATGTGTTAAAATAAATAAATAAATAAATAAAACATTTGACAATTCACTTATTACGTAATTATTTCGTTTCATTAATCGTGGAGTATACCAACTTCCGTTTTTAAAGATGACATCAGTAAGAGAATTGTCGTTATGTACGAGTTTAGGCAATATCATTTACTAGAAAAAAATCAACACATTATTATCGTATCGTACACAATAAACAGCATGTTTGAACGTGTGGCAGAAAATGATATGCTCTATGTTGTTTTAAATGAATTAAACCAGTTTGAATACGTATACACAGATTTAAGAAATAAAAAGAGAACCAAAAACAGAGAAAAATATAATTGGTAACAGGGGATCAATATTCACTAGAATTTATATATACAGGGTGTTTAAAAATGCTGTAAATTACTTGACAACGATATGAAATCCATGTAATTGAGATCATGGAGAATAGGTGTAGTTCAGTATGAGAATTTCGGACTCATTCTGTTCTCTTTTTTTCTATAACTTGAATAATTTAATAGTGGTGCTTAAATTGTCGTTCTAAACAGAAACATCAGTATATACTTAAGAACGTAACTCAACTATAGACAATATGCAACCAAGTGTTCCAAGTTAACAAAACAAAATCTGTTAATTAATCGTGAAAAAAATCGGATAGTTCATTGTGTTTTTTTTTTGTGGAAGTATGAGCGGATGTTGTCTAGATAAACATTGAATCATTCATGACTATAAACTATCAAGCATAACAGAGAACATAAAGAACATCGTAAAAATCAATGTTATTGAATTCAACCATCAAAATAATCAAATGTAAAACAGAAAGTAAACTTTTTGGTGGAGTCAAATAGGGTGAGAGTGAAATAATAGTTGGATGCGAAGGAATCTCTTTTCATACACATAGTTCCCTTAATCATTTTGAAAAGAGCAAGAACAAACATTCTAGCAGAATAGTCTATTAAATTTATTTACACCCTTGCTATACTATATAAATGTGTCTTTAATATAACTTCCAATCAAACTCTTTTATGTAAGTAATTTTAACCCATTAATTATGATTTTAAATATCACAGGTTGTAAGCAGCTGATGAGAACCAACGAAATAAAAATGAATTCATGCTATTCTGCTAGAAGGATCTCTTTTCAACGAATTTATTATCAAGCTGTACAATCGTATATATATATGAAAATTTTGTTTTTGTAAAAGTATTAATTCCGTGAAGAAATGATAGTGCAATTACAATTCGATCAAATAAGTAAGACGTAATTATCAATGCTTTATCGTAATTTCATGTAATTAGTTTCTTATACAAAAATTGACTATCTATTAATATACGTGTTTTGTTATTTTTAGCTTTACCTCGAATGATCACAATGCTGTAGAAATCCATTTACTTATTCTTCTACCTTCCCCTTAAATTCATTAAACTTTCATTCTGCAAGCTAATTCATTAATTTTATAACTATTAGTATTATTATTTGAGATCATGGATCTATTAATGTTAGAACATCATTGAAAACCTAAAAGCTCAGGAAGGCGTTTTTCGTCCTGGTACGAAATTCCTCACTAATGAGAATTTACAACATTGCAAATGGGACTCGAATCCAGAACGCTTTAGCTCTAGACCACTTAGCAGGCATTCAATAGTGTGAAAATCAAGCTTCAATCAATCCATGATATTGCGCGAACATCTTTGATTGTCTCTAGTGGGTTGAACATTTACACCGTTGGATGCCGTTTCAGTGATTTACAGATTAAACGTTCATGTGCGAAACATAAGGTCCTGAGTTCAAATCCCGCGTGTGGAATAGTGGATGCACACTGCTGAGAAGTTCCATACTATGACGAAATGGCCTTCTAATGTTGCCAGGTTCTCAATAGTAATCTAATATTGATCGATTCATGATCTCAATTAAAACTCAACTATCTCCACAATCCTATACTTATTATAATCATTGAAAAATGGATTATTTTTTTTCAACCATTAGTTTGTTCATCCAACAATAAGTGATAATTTAAAGTTGTACAAAGAATTGATCACATGATTGAAGCACAAAAATTCTAAATATATATATATGTATGTCTTATAATGATAAGTAAATCTTAGGCGTGGTATTGTTAACTTAAATCTGATTACTTTGAAGAGGTGAACATTGAATGACATGAAATATTAAAATTGAATTTTGGAAAAGAATGATGAAGCGATAAAAGAAATTATTTCGATTGTTTTTGTTGCTGCTTGAAACAGACATTTCTACTCTATGTATGCATGTATGTATATATGTATGATGAAGAGCTAGATAGGGAATAAGTTGCTTTCAAGTGATTTCATTTAAATGAAATACTGATTACGAAATCATATTTTAAACTTTAATACATTTTTAATACAACTTTATTAAGAATAAATACTGAATTATTGTATATGAATTATTGGTAAGTTTTTGGAATGGATTTAACCAGAAAATACTAAACTGGTTACTCTTAAACATACAATATAACTTAATTATAAAATGTATTTATTATTTTCTATGGAAAATATCGTGTCGAATACATATGCGCTACACAATAACAATGAGGCTAGTAGTAATTATCATTGATTTGTGTGAGGGTCGTGATATTGACCGGGTGCCAAAGTCGAAGCAGGTGGGGTTTTTTTAGCGAACCACACCCGGAGCCTTCGACTTAAATTTCTGATCCACAAGGCAATTGAGCAACATCAGGAGATACAATCCCATGGTAACTGGTAACCAACAATAGGTTTATACGCCATTTGTTCCTTCAATATCCTGGAGATCATATGCACCATTGGTTTGGAATCAGAGTTTTCTAACTCTACGGTCACCGTAAAGTCAACTTCTCTAAATTGTCACTTTATTATGGTAACTAACTAACTAAGTACTTAGAAACAAACTTTTGAAAGTTTGAAGAGAAACTAATTTGAAAGTAGAATAAAAAAAAGAATTTACAGAGCATGGAATAAATGAATACATGTATGTATGTATGTAGGTATGTGTGAGAAAGAGTGAGATATGTAAATAAATAAATGAATAAATTGAAGCATGAAAATGGTGGTGGTGTGTTCTTGAAACTATTATTATCGATATGACAGTAATGATGATGATCAGACTAGTAGTAGGAAAGATAGGAGGACGTAGAGAAAAAAACAACACCAATAACAACGAGAAAAATAACAACAAAAACATCAGAATAGAAGGTGTACAGGTTTTCTTCTCTAAAAGAGATATTATAGTATAGAGTATAATATTTAAGCCTACAATAGAGTTAGCTAGACACACATATCGAAGTTCAAACCTTTACTATGCATAAAAAGGATGGAAGAACGGATAACGACGACGACATTGGCAAGTGGTAAGATAATTCAATGCTAAGAGAAGTAAACCATGTGTACATAGGTAACATATATACAGGGGATACATATATATGTACGTTTAGCATACGATGCTCTATATAGTGGGAAGCGAAACAGGTCAATTAAACAAGGTAAAATGTAATTACCTACTATACTTATGCATTGAGACATTCAGTACATGTATAGTGGTGTGTAAGCATACACGCGAGAAGGTAACACGTATATACATATATATATATATATATATATAAGGGTATTTTCAAGTTGCTTGCTAACAAACGAAATTCGATATCGTTTAAAATAAAAATGACCTTGAGAAAAACAATTTCCATTCCATTCATAGACAATATTGTTAACTATTTAGTTATTGGAATAATAATTTATATACATTCATTTAGTAGTCAGTCAGTCAGTCACCCACTCATTTCTTTACACACACACACACACACACAGACAAACAAACAAACAGAGAGAGAGAGAGAGAGGGTAGAATGCATGTGTACAGTTATTTATTATGATTAAGTTCTTTCTTTTTTCCCAATGGAAAAATATGAAAGGGAAACCAGAGAAAATTATCAAAATGACAATGAAGAAAAGAAATTCTAAATTAAATTATAATTGATATAGAAATATAAACTGATTATATATATTTACGTACTTATGAAACTACCGACATTCTAAGTAAATGAGCATACCACAAATGAGATAAATCGGTAATAGACAATAATGTCTATAGAGATGGTAAACAACCGTTTCCGAGGTGAAAAAAAAGAAAGTAAATGAATTTGGTAAACGAGCAACAATGAATTGTTGCTCATTTACTGGAATTAAGTTAATTAAGTATGCTGATTATAAAATGAAACAATGAATTATTGAATGTAATAAGAGTATTACACTAAAACATAATTGAAACTCATTAAACCTTATATGATAATTAACATATCTGTTCACAACTAAGTTTAAAAAGAATATTCATTAAAATCGGCTTTAAAAATATATTTCACAGAAAAAAAAGTTTGAAAGAAAAACTTTAAAAAAAATTAATTGATTGTAACCAAGAACTTACTGAATAATGCATCATACAAGGATCATTAGGTTGAAATTGTGATCGACCACCACCTGTTGTTGGTGCCTGATGCATAGGACGTGGATGACCAGGTGTAGAACGTGGAAAGTGATTCATTTGTAACTCATCTCCAATATAGGAAGGATTCATTGATTTACTCGGAGTTGTAACACAATTAGGAATTGGTTGTTTAACACAGTGAACATTTTGATTGGTAGGCGATGACTGTTGATGTGTGGATGATAAAGACTGTGTATAATTACCAGTATTGGTAATAACACTAGATCTACCGGATGCAGCACCAGCTTTACGTTTTTTTGTTCCTGGCTTTGCGACGCCGGAACCACGCCCACCAACTGATTGGTTAGTATTAGTGATAGGTACACATGTAGGAGGAATAGAACCAACAACAGGAGATTGAATAACATTTAATGATTGACCAGCACGACAAACAGATGGTATTGAACCCGGTTCAATGTGACCAACAAGAGCAGGGTTTTCGTTATTTTGAATAGGAGACATAGAAAGAGGAATTGAGTTGGGTGATAACCAAATATCACTATTTGTAGCAGAATGGTAAGGACGTTTTTGCCCAGTAGTTGGGACTACACCGGGAGTTATTGAGTCCGGACCGGCTGCACCTAGTGTCCGACAAGATTCTGTCGGTAGTGTCAATGAGTCAGAGGACGGATAACCAGGATTTCCAGAACATATATTTGAATTATTTGGTGGAACCATTACAACTGGAGGGCCACTTTGGTAAGTCGGAGGTTGGCAGGTTTGTTGGTCAGTCATCATTACTTGTTCTGAAGGCATCATCATAGTTCCAGTAGCCATAGGTGGAACAGGGCACTGAGATGAAAGATTAACTTCATGAGGAGGAACTGGACAGTTGGACATATCAAAAAATCCCATCTGTCTAGGTCCAGAATAACGCATCATCGATGGATCACTTTTTCCACGCTGATAATCAGAACATAATCTATCCCATTCTTGTTGAGCTGACTCATTATTAACATATTGTCCTCCAACTAAACCGCTCTGACGAAATACCCCATAGTTTTCAAAATCTACCGGACGTTGTCCAACAGCTTCAGAATATTGTAATGAATTGTTAATAGCTGAATGTTTAAAAAGAAAAGAAATATTGTAAAACTTCATCAAGCAGTATGTATTTATTTAAAAAAAACACAGTTAAGATGAATAAAGTACTTCAAAAGTATTTCATTCTATGTATAATATTAACTCCGCCTGTAGCACGTCTGGCGTTACTGTAGGTCCCATGTCCGGATAAATGAGGCGAGTTGTGCATGGGGGTTAGCGAACCCATCCTGTAGAAAACTAACTCGATTTTAAAAAACGTTAACCAGAAATTAGTGTATAATATTATAGAAATAACATAATATTATCAATGTATGTCATGAAAATTTAACAACTCTACCTTTATTCTATTGTTGAAGATAAATAAGAGATATAAAAAAAGTTGAGATTCCTAATGATACAAAATTATGTGGAAAATATCAGGTTCAGACGGTGGAAGAATCATGTTCATAAGTATGATCAAATTAACATTTTACATAGTGTATGTATCCTTAAAATAATAATAATAATAATACTGAATATTTATTTCCCTTTAGTAGTTTAATAGTTCAGTAAAAAAAAATCTGAGCTTTCTAGGATTTAACGAGTATCCTTTCACTACATTGATTTATCAAGTGCATATATCTTTATGTACTCAATTTGAAGTTACACATTTCTAAATATTATATATATATATATATATATATATATATATATATATATATATATATTATAGATTCAGTTTGCTGTGTTAATGAGGTATAGCAACTTGGACAGATGAATATATGTACTTGATCCTACGTTGTAGCTGACTGACTTACAAATATCTATAGTTATTGATGTTGTCCTGTTTCGATCAAACAGAAAAATAGAAAGATTGAATAGTTTAAATCTAGGACTCAAGGTATTTGAAAGTTAGATAATTATTTGTAGAACTTTTATAAGATTATTAGATATAACTTACAATCTGTTAAGTAATGAGTTAAAGTGAGCAGTGAAATTCAACAATGTTATATGTGAACCAGTTATCCATTAATGACATTGGAAAATAGAATAAATTAACACCAGTTTCAATAGTTACAAAGGAACAAAGTAGTAAAAATTAGTTTAAAACCTGTTTTATAATTCAATCATCAATCATATGAGCATAGAGAAAGAGAAAGAAAAGAAGATTTATGAATGAAAAACGAAGTAGTATTTATGATATTCTAATTAACTATTCTTTATTTGAACACTACATAATTGTGGTTTTCTTCTAATTAGAAAAATTGAATTAATATGCATTTCTCTCTCTCTCACACACACACACACCTACACAAACACATATACACACATAATTTGGTTGTCGCCTTTTCCATTTTAATATGAATAATGTACTTTTAAAATATGCATAGGACAATTGGTTGTCATCTAATCTATACTACAAAATTATTGATAAATGCATAGATATTGCACAATATATAAACAATGAGATAATAGAGTTATAATAATAATTATCATTATTCACTAGTGAAAAAAAAGGAATTATTAACTGTGCACAACAAGTTTGTTCAATGTACAAGAGATTATGTCACAGATGAAATTACTGAACAGTAATGTTTATAAGTGTAAGTATACATGATGAGTTAGATTTGTTTTTGTACAAAAGGGTAGAGATTATATCAGGAGATATGGTGTTAATTGAATGTTTACAAGCACTATTCACGGTATATATACATGTACATATCATCTGGGTTTTTTTTAAAGAATGAATTTGACTTATTCACCAGATAGTGGCGTGTAAACCACACTCTAGATAATGGAGGCTAACAATACTACTACTCAATTGCTCAAACAGGGATCAAACCTTAGAATTATTGACTAAAGGTTGGACACTTTAACCAATGTTGTTACTATTCTACTCAAATGATCATCTAGTACAATATGTCACTATTATTATTCCAACCTATAGTTGTATGATAAAGTCGAACTAGGTAGAAGAATACTCAATGAATTATGTTATTAAATTTATGATTTAAAAATAGAAATAACTAACCGGAAGGTGGTAGTTGTGCTGAAGGATTTCCTAACCCTAACGACTGTTGTTCCAGCTGTTGTTGGTGGTGGTGATGATGATGGTGATGGGATGGCTGTTGTGGCTGCATTGAAATAGAATTACGCATTAAACGTTGTTGTAAGACAGCACCAGCTGTTGCTGCAGTTATAGCACCTGGTGTTGAAGCACTTTTACTTTTACTCAATGTTGAATGAATTTTTTCTAATTGTGCTATTTTACTCTTACGATTCTCCCATTGTTCTTGAGTTAAAGGCATACAACCACTATCTGGAATACCAATTATCGGTGAAACTAAAGCAGTAGTTGGACCAATACATTGTTTTGAATTTGAATTAGATGATAAGACAGAAGAATGTTCTAATCCACTGCATGAATTAATATCTTGATGTCCTGTACACATATGTCGAAAATAAGATGAATTAGTGGATTGTTTTATATTAATCGGATCGATAATTTCAACTGGAGATCCTTTCATCGTCATATATGTTTCAAAGGGATATGTTTGTTTTGAGGTGCCATTTCCAGTAATTTGATTTTGTGATATTTGTTGAGTAGATGAAGGATATGATCGATAGTTTCTTTCATCAATTGTTCCATTATTTGGTCGTTGTTGTACTTGAGATGATGATGGTTGTGTTGAAATGGCAATTGTATCATTGGTTGTTGGTAACTTGCGATCACCTAATTATAAGTAGTATAATAAAATACACTAAGTGAATACGACAAATTCTTTACGGTTAAATGAATAAAAAAAAAACGGAATAGATCTAAAATACACAAAGAACCATAAACATATGATATATGCATATATAACAATAACAATAATTCATTAATGCATTTTAATCGTGGGTTTTAAAAAGATAAAGAGGATTGTTTTCAAACTTTCGAAGGAAACGCCCTAATAAAAAAGAAGAGTGAACTGTGAGTAGAAAAATGCTTATCTGTAGTCAAAGCATTGACTTGTAAGTTTTATTTCTGATTTATTCGTAATGATATAAGCAGTCCTTAAAGTACCACCATTATTAACTCTCATATAGAAAAGTGACTTAAAAGTGGAGTATATATTTACGCCTATATCGGATATGATACTTTATGTATCTATTGTGTTTATACAACAACAATTTAATCAAAGAGGTAATTCAAAGGAATCGTTTAGGCCATATCCAATGTAGGAGTTTACACTGAATAAGGGACTACACATATATGTTGATTTGGAATAAGAAAACCAAAGAGTGAAATTATTCAACATATTAAGTTCTTGGAAGTGAGTATTCACGATCCCGCATGTAAGACAGGAACCCATGACCTTCAGTTTGGCACGCGAACGCTTAACCTCTAAACCACTGAGCCGGCATCAAACGGTGTTCATGTCTAACTTCAATCGACTTTGCACATTGTTGAGGAGTCCCATACTAAGATCCAACGGCCGTCCAGTGTTTCCAGGCATTCAATGGTGATTTAGCTTACATCGAGTCATGAATTTCAACTATCAAAATCACTACAATCTCTACAAACCTCCATTCCAATATTAATTTCTTTTGAAATAAAGTTTTTTTTTATGTAACAGGAAATATCATATGAACGAAATTATTTCATTCTTCCTATTTCGTCTACTTTCTTCTGAAAACAAAGTAAACAGTATTTATAAAAAGAGAAAATAAAACGAAAGAAATGCATAAAAGCAGTCATTCATAATCACTGATACAGCATAGTATATATGCGCTCATCTGCTCAAGTTGTTCTATATTAAGAATGAATAAGAGGAGATATAATTTACAAAATAACCAATGGAATCGAAATAACTATGGTGAAAATCACTAAACATTGAGAATATGGTTCAAGTAGACAGAATGAAAAAGTACGTGTATGAAGGAATACTGGAATTGAAGATCTGGATAAAGGCAATAAATAAACACGTTTGGATCTATACCACTGATTATGACACGTTTTACTTAATGATAATAAGTGTGAAAACTAGTGACACTGTTCAATGTCATAAATCATAGTCAACCGGACAAGATTTGAATCTGAGACTTAATGGTTAAAACTTAAGTGTTAGGATTATTAAAACATTTCTTAGTTGTTTAATGACCTACATGTTAAGTTCAACCATTTTAGATGGATAAATCCAAATAAATTAAAAATATATTTAATAGTACATTTAAGATACATATTGATGGGTGGGTTTAGCAAGTGAAACACTCAACCTTTAGAAATTCGATCAAAGGTTCATAAATATGTGTCGTTTACATTAATTTTAATAGTGAATTAGTCCTACAATAAATAGTTCAGTACAAATACTTTTATTGAGGTAACTGTGTTCATGCGAATACATAGAGATAATCTTCGTTAAAAAATATGTAGTCTATATTCACAATAAGCTCAGTAGCGATAGTGTGTGTGTGACACAATCTTGTTCTCGTAGATAAAAAACGGTCAGTAAAACAAGTTTAAGATGCACAGGATACCGTAGTTCACAAGTATACATATAAATAGTATATTAGTAGAAATCATGAATATAAAAGACTGCTGTCGAAAAAAATTTTCTTTTCTAATCAACATATTCACTTACGATGGAATGATGGAGATGATGATGTCATATTTGAATTGGAATTAGGAAGACCGGGTGAACTCCAAGATGCTAATGATTCACTGACTACAACACCAGGTGTAGCAGTTGTATTAGTAGATATATTAGGAGAGGAAGGCAATAACTGAATACCACTAACAGTGGAAGTATAATTACTATTATTATTTGTCGTAGTAGCAGTAATAGATGTAGTACTCATGGTTGTCGTTGTACATATAGCAGCAGAAGTTGTAGTAAACATAGTGTTAGTACCAGTCAATGATGTGATAGATTCACAAACCACTGAACTACTATTATTTTGCATTGGTACAATAGATTGATCAACAACACCATCTGAATTTCTTATTGTTTCATTATTATTCGATATATTGTTATTGATACTGCCACCAGTTAACGATGCATACCCAGATTTTGTGGCGGTACCAACCATAGGTGACGGTGAAGATAAGTTATATTGATTTGTAGATGAAGAAGTATTATTCATAAAAGAATCATGATGATTACAACTGACAACTGATCCAGATGATGATGATATGTTGGTATATTCAAGTGAAGTATTAACTTCAGATTTTGGGAAATGCATTAAATCTGGATCACAAGGTGATTGACCAGATAATGATCGCATTTTTGTTAGATCTAGAATAATTACAGTAAAAATTAAATAGAAAGCTATGATGCAACATTACTGATCAGAAATTACACTAAGCAACAAAAAAATCGACAAATATCATGTGGTGGTGGTATAAGTCATTTTATTGAAGATGATGATTATTCTAAAGCAAACCATTAACAACCATTCTCATCATAATTAATTTATATAGAGACTTAAGATTTGATAACATTTTTTTAAATAAAATTATTTCTAAATGATTACATCATTATTTTTAATTTAATAAATTGAACTAGTTAATATACAAACAATGAAAAGGTAAATATAATTTTGATCAATAAGGAATAATGTTGTTCATTGAAATAGTCCACAAATGCCCTGGTCTAACCGAAAATGGAGAGAGTTAGCTCTCCCTCCCAAAATGCTCTCACATAATCACGTGCATACAACCACTGTCAGGGGAGTCCTAATCACTGCCTTCTCACAAAACGGATGTTGTTTATGAAATAGTCCAGCGCTTTAACCGGGTTGCTGGGTATAAAAGATCCACCTACGAGAGTTGGAAAATCCTGATTCCAAACCAATGGTGCACATGGGCTCTAGTATCCTGAGGGAACAAATGGCATATTAACGAATTATTGGTCACTGGCTACCATAAGACTGCATCTCCTAACGTTGCTCCACTAACTTGTGGATCAGAACATTAGGTCAAAGGCTCGGGGTGTGATGCTCTAAGAAAACCACCTGCTTCGGTTTGGGCACCCGGGCAGTACCCAAGCCCTTACACAAATCGAATGATTTATGTGCTAAAATAAATAAAAGAAGTTACAAAGTATTTCTATTAAGGGAGTCCAACAAACCTATTTCAAAACTAGTCACTGATTACAGTATAATTATTACTATTCAGAGAATTCGTTTCTCTGTCTCTCTCTCTCTCTCTCTCTCTCTCTCTCTCTCTCTCTATATATATATATATATATATATATATATATATATATATCACAACGTATAAGTACTTCTAATTTTGTCATTACCCAAGGACACAACACTGAAATTATTGTATTAGATCAAAATAAGGACAACAGAGAAAAAAACGGAAGTACACAAAGTCAATAACCTTTGATATTAATGATAAATTTAATATGTAAGTTACGAAAAAAACGTGTACAGATCTAAAATAAATTTACATTTCAAAGGGGATGATAACAGCTGAAGAATGATACACTACTTGATTGCTCTAAATGAAGCAGATGTAGAAAGAGAGAGAGAGAGAGAAAGTTAATAGGTAAGTGTTCTATCCAACAAAAGGCCAAAACACATTTAAGTAGTATCATATAGGTCAGTACAAAATATAAATATATTTCATGAGTTAAGCGTTAGTTTTTACTATAGAAAAAGAGAAATGAACATATACTATGTTTGTAAGCAAAGATGGATAGTGGCTAGCATTACAAACTAGGATACACGTTTCGTCCTATTTGGGACTCGTTGGCTGGATGTACCTGCATTTCAGAGTTGATTTTCACTACAGGAATAGAACCTAGTACCGTTTGCTTCAAATGCGATCGCGTCATCTACTTAGCTAGTGAATCCTGATAGCCCTTTATAAAGCTAGTCAATTAAGGAAATATAGAGGCAATCCACATAGGATGTACATATTCCAATAAGAAACTGATCAATTACAGTCCTAAACATCAATAGGAAGATTCAAGTAAACAATACCAAGTGAATTTACACTAAATTGAAAACCAACCTGATTACTGGGGAAAATAAGATATATCAAAATGCGAAAAATATACTTTATAGAAGAAATTACTATGAAATTTATATAGTGTCATTGAAGTGAAACATTTAACCTGAATCGAAGTACAAAACTAACTAATTAGTAGGTCATTAAGGTGAATATCCACGAAAATGGGATGTAAGTACAGTTCCGATATAAGATGAAACGTACAATTTAGATTCTATAGTACAACAACCAACAAATTTGGAAACAATCTACAATAAATACTGACCACTTGTAGTTGCTAGCAACAACAACAGGAAAATACAAACCCTTACAAATATAAAACGAATTATAGTTTTAAGATACTGAATGAATCCAACAATTTACTCACAAAACAAAATGAATCTAGTGGAGAGTAGTTCGAATCCACAATCTAATAGTTAACAGTTCAAAGTATATTTGTGTTAGAGTGATGAGCAAGTCACTATTGAAAGAACACCACTAACCAAAGCCGACGCTAAGCGATTACGATTCCAAACTAACATTGTATTCGCCATTATTTCGTGTTCAATAAAAAATTCAGTTATTTTACACAAAAGAAATACACTTATATTGTGAATAGAAATGCAAAAGTTACGTCCACATAGAACTGTTTTACACAGTCAGTCAGCTACAACGTAGGACCAGACACATATGCAGCGGTCCAAGTTAACATACCTCATTAACACAACAAAATGAACACCGGATTCATAAAAGTAGTTAATTCAGTGGTGGTAATATATAAAAGAAAGATTTCGTATAAGGATATAGTACAGGAAGAAAGAATTAGTTCGTAGAAAGAAAGATATGAAGCAATTTTAACTGTTTTACACATCTTAATGAAAATGATATAGAATCTAATTAATAATCTTAATTAATTCTATTTATATATAATTAAATGTGGTTTGTAAGTAGTAGTAGTAGTAGTAGTATATATAGTTATTTATTTCCATTCGCACTCAACTCATTCACTCTACATCAATACAACATACAACATAAAAGGATGTATATATCTTTACATAATATTTATGAAGAAACAAAGATAAACAATTGCAAGTACTCTAAATTACTGATCGATTTCAGTAAACAATACTAGTTTGTCTATGTATAAACAAACAATCTCTTATTGATATGCTCACACAAACATACAAGTACACAGAATAGGCACACTACTCAATAATTAAAATCCACAATTACTTGTATTATTTTCGATTTTCATAGTATAAAGAAGGTGATACATGTGTATTAGTTAAGTTGTGGCTTTATGCAACAGAATATGATGGCGGAATCGTAATGATTACTAATAGTAATTATTATATAAAGAGATGAATAGTTACATTAGCGTGGTTAGTAAGAAGAAGATGAAAAGAGAGAAACACAATGAAACATTACGAGTGAACAGTTAGCAATTTTTTAAAGAAGGAATATTCTGCTTAAATGTGAATTAATCAAGTCATATGATCAACTTGGTTTATTTACACAACAACTAACAACATTTTAACAGTGGTATTTAATTAATCTAGAAAATTACTTGTTTTCCAAGTGTTGAATTATAGATTTAAAATCTAGGTCCTATCTGATTCAGTTTGAGCAGCTTGGGTGGTATCAACATTGCGTTGTTTCCCTCTATCTTTATTTCGCACACACACACACACACATCATAAATCACAGAATTGAGTATAGGAACCTGAACATAGTTATTGAATTGCATAACAATTATACTGAAGAACTAAATGAAATGGATAAAAATGTGTTTCCAAGGATGCGAAAAATTTTAGACAGCGCGGAATAAGTGCATGTAAATACATACTGAGATAAGTTAGCAATCAAACAGAGATCTTCGTTATTGCAAGATTTCCATCTCCTTCTTACCCTTTGCTTGATTTCATTTGACCGTATTTTAGGAAAAATAAATCGATGGTGATGGTTTCGTACCCGCTCAAATATACAGATGTTTGCTGACCACTATCTTGACGGTTTGAACCCAGTGACTTTATGATCAGACAAGACATCATTGACTCTCATATTTAAAATATATCTTAGAACTCAATGTACTTGGTAAGTGACTAACAAATTTCTGATATGTGTGAAAAATCACACCAAACATATTACGTTTTTGGGAAAAAAGAAAGATCATAAACAGTTAGACTTGTCAATAAGTAATGACCCAGGTTTTGCTTTAACAAAATAAGCATATTCACGTAAGAAAATTTCTATTAACATAGATTATAAGCAGATGAAGGTATTTCTACATATATTGTCAGTCGTGAGATAAATACAAAGCTCTTTATGTCCTGTGAAATCTTAAAAACAACTCTACATAGCTCCTTAGATTAAAAGTGTTCATAATTTACTAAAGAGAAAAACTGCGTTCAATAAGTAATAATATTTCTTTAAAAGATTATAACTCTTCCTGGAGCCCCTCTGGGTTGGAGAATGCTTGTCGGCGGCCTATGCTCAATTGGGAGTAACAGGTGTAAATAAGTAATAAGAAGACAATAGTACGGATATCTATATATTAGATAGATAGATAATAAATACCATAGCAACCGAAATAACACTTGAAGAAAAAGAAATACAAAAGGTAAAGCTTCCTATGTAGAATTTTTTTCTACAGAAACCATAGGTTAAACATGGAAATAAGTTAGTAAAATATACGATTACAACAGAAAGGATAAATTATACTTAATGAAACTATGAGAATATATATATATATATATATATATATATATATATATATAGTGTGGATATAATGTTGTTCTACATCGTTTAAATAACAGAAAATATACAAATATGGTACAGTAACAATTTTGATATATGTATAATTCAGCATAAATATTATCTCCTAATCTATTCATCCACCTTAATGCTGAATACTTGATAGTAATAATAATCTCCGGTTTCCACCAACTTATCGTTTTTTCTCGGATATATTACTCTTTGTTGTATGTATGTATATATATGCAAGGAAATAAGACCATGTACGTTTGTTTATTTAGATATGTCCACTGGAACTTGACAAAATTACCTACAATGTTTTTAGGTTGACAATTTATTTTTCGTTCATTATCTACGTACCAACCTACATAAAAATTATTTGATTGATTCACATATTGTTTTTTCTCTCGTTAAATCGCTGTAGAACAATAGAAGAATAAGTACATAGACATATATATATATATATATATATATATATAGCGGGCTAGTAAAGTTCAACTCATAAATTGTCTTACTTTCCTCATATAACTATGGAGTATACAA